TACCAGCACCAAAACCTCAAGAGGCGTGAAGCCCTTCGAATTCGGTCATCTTGATTCATTTTCCCTCCGGATCCGGACTGCAGTACGTGAGAAGTCCACGTCAAATTTCCAGGGCCCTGTGCCGCGAGCTCTAGCGGGGATCCGGAGTACATATATATTGCACGTACGATCGAGCCAGGGCACCCCGGTACACGTATACCCACGTGCATGCATGCTGTACACGGCATCAGACCACGGAGGTTTGCAGCCTCGGCTGCTCGGCATGTTGAGTTACGTACGTACATTTAATCGAAATCTTCTTATAAAACCCTAAACCCTAAACCCTAAACCCTAAACCCCTAAACCCTAAACCCTAAACCCTAAAAATAGGCTGCTCGAGCGAGGGGCCAAAGGTAGTACCGCCGGAGAGTGCTTCTCTCCAAGGTGCGTGTATGCACCGAGCTCGCAATTCCTTGGATCTTGCCCCAACGAACCCAATTAACAAATAAAAACGCTTATAGCCTTATTGCATATATAGAAAAAATATAGGGTTTAGGGTTTAGGGTTTAGGGTTCTTGTATACTACATCTAGAGCTAGCGACCTTGAGATCGCATGCAAGGGGCCAACGATCCGTCCGTTGAAATCCTCGGAAGCGAAGGTATGGTAATATCGCCAGTTGTATTTCTCTTTGGCGGCATAGTACATGAGCTCGAGGGTGCCCTGCACATGTGCGGCGTGGCTGCAGGCTTCAGCTGGGAATTATAATTTCAGGGTGGGTTTGAGTAGAGGTTTGTGGGATTTGCGGGACGTATTTAGCCCTATATGTTTAGGGGTACGGTTTAGGCCGATCTAGAATCGAATTAAAGTTTTTGGACGAAAGCCCTTCCGAAGAAAACAAATTAAACAACTAGTGTAGCAGCAAATCTTCAACAAGCGGCGTGAAGCTTCGGACGGATCTGGAACAGGGGCTTGGAGGTGGTGGCGTGCTGCGTCGCCAGCAAGCCATATGCATTCATAAATACATCCTTGGATCCAAACCCAATACGGACGAATGCATCCTACATGTAATACATCGCTATATATTTTAAAACCCAGAATCGGTGCTGTGCCGCATTCGCGTGATCTCCTCAGCTTTGAGGTATCTCCCGGCTTGCTCCACGGTGTTCATCAAGTCGCCGATGTAGAACCTGGCTGCACTGACTGACATTAATATAATGTAGGGGATCTAGCGGCTCGGTTGAAGGCTTGAGGCTTATTTTAAGTGTAGGGCCTTGCATATGACAGTAGAGTTTTGAGCGTTGTTTTGAGGCATTGGGGATCTAGGGCTCAAGGGCTTAAGGCCTATTTTAAGTTTAGGGTCTGTATATAAGTTTTGAAGCGAAGACAAGCAACATGCATTGGCCCAAAAGCCGCATGGTAGCATCAGCAGCATGCACATCCTCGTAGAGCAGGGCCGTTGTCCGATGAGCCAGCCATCCGGTAATAACTCTGGCCTCTGATATAATCAAGGCTTATCATCGACTATAAGCACCCATGGAAGCATGCGCGCTTTCATTAAATTTACAGCTAAAGTGGCATTAAAGGCTTTCGCGGCCATTTCTCGCTCTCCGTTGGTGGTACGAAGGAATTTCGCCGTAAATTTCGGCTGGGAGTGCCTGAGATATAACATAAAGGGGTTTAGGGGTTTAGGGTTCAAGGCTTTGCGGTTCAGGGGTTTGGGGTTCAGGGGTGTAGGGTTCAGGGGTTTAGGGTTTAGGGGTTTAGGGTTAAGGGCTTTTGCGAATTCATGAACCGTTATAAGGAACGTACAGCATCGATCACTGCTAGCAGGGGCTCGGAATGCGGTGGGCCCGGGTCCAGGCACAAAAGTCACGGTAGGCGGTGGCCAGCATGTCATTCAGGTCGCCAGAACCCCAAATTCCCTGGCATGCAGCTCATAGCTGCGATGTGTTTTTTAGTTGTAGGTTTGGGTTTAAGTTTAATATATATTTGGGGTAAGGTGGGTGTGGCTTTGGTTTCGGACTTTCCGGCCTTTGACATCAAAATCTCGATGCAACCTGCTCCCGCCCACAGCATAATCCCGAGATTCAGCGTATGTAATGAGCACCAGCGGAGCATGCTGGGGCTCCATCCAAGGATCTCTGGAATCACACCTGCGCGCAAACATTGGCTTTGGCTTCGAGCCTGGACAACATATTAAGGTTTTTGATGGCAGGCTTCGTGGCTACGGGGCACTAGCTCTAATTAGTTTTAAAGCATAATATATTTAGTACTATAGTATACATATAGAATAACCAGGTTATATTATTATTTACAATAGAAAAACACTGTAATAACGAAGAACTTGTACAATCCAGTAGCTCGTCTTTCCATCAGCATCCACCAAGCTAGTGCAGACCTCATGGAAGTTCGCGACCGCCCGCCTGGGCATATCATCCATTGTCTCCGATCGAGGGTCATCAAAGAACGAATCCAGGCGGGCATAGCAGTGATGACACATCTGGTGGCTGCTCCAGCCGACTTTCTTGAACCCCAGCCATTCCTAGGGTTGCAGAACACGACAGCTTGGATAGAAAACTTAGAGTTTCAGGGTCCAGGGTCGAGGGCTTATTCCGTAATTATTGTTATTATTATCATGATCATGCGAAGTCTCCTTGTAAAACTTCCAGTCCGCTCGTAGCTCGGTGACAGCGGCCAGCGGCGGCTCCTCCATCCCGGGTTCTCCTCGGAACAGAATGTTCAAGGAATCGACCACCTCAGCACAGGAATACATCGTTCAGGTTTCGGTTTGGGTTGTAGCCGTTATGTAGCAGGGGGACCTGATCTGTATTTAGGGTTTAGGGTTTCGGGTTTAGGGTTTAGGGTTTAGGGCTTTAGGGTTTTAGGGTTTAGGGTTTAGGGTTTAGGGTATTAGGTCCAAGCGACTGGCTTCATGTAGGCTTGGAGGGTCGAGAATCCGGTCGACAAGGACTGTCAGGGATGATCTCAAATTATATTGATAGGTTTTAACTTGAGCGTTTGTGTTTAGACTTCACACCTCCCTCACAATAAACAAGGGCCAGTGTGTGGCCATCGAGTTCGTCCTCGTGTCTAGGACCATGCCTAGACTCACCTGGCAGAGTTTCTCTTCGCTCGTCCACTTGACATCGTCGGCGTAGAGGTACAGCGGCATATGTTTGCAATCTCCCCCTTGCTCATTAAGAGGATGATCGGGGCCCCATTCTGCATGTCTGAACATATGCACCCAGTATTGCTGAATCTCTGGAAGGTCGGGCACTAACAGCTTGTGCTTCAGCAAGTGAGGGATCAACCGATGCGGGAGCACCACCGGTAATTTCCTTCTTCAGAACAAACTATAGTTACCGATGTGTTCCTAATTAATAATAGGTTTATAGATCGATCGAGGGTTCGGGGGCGTAGTGCTTAGGGGCTTGGGGTGATCAATTAATATGATTATATATATTAGGGACAAAATCTAATCAGCTTGGCGGCCTCATCACCACAGTGGGGTCCGTTGCACTCTTCTGCATAGGAACATCCACCACGTCCATGGGCACCTTATCATGAAGTGGGGTTCTGGGTTTTGGCAATCTAGAGGGTCGAGGCCTTAAGTATTATTGAGACCCCTCGGCATCTGAGTCCATCGCCATATCCATAGCTCCATCGAGAATTTTCATCGAATCTCGCTGTAAGTTTTGGGGATGTTTCCCAGTGGCACCGGCCAGCCGAAGTCTCTCTGCCGTGTGTGGCAAAGTGCTGCCATGAGCTTGAAGCTCCTTTATCGACGGGAAACATCGAACCTTAGAGGCCTTTTAGAATACTGTAAATTATGAATACCGAACGAATTGAACACGGAGCGAATCCTTGTGGCCCTCTTCCAAGAACTGCCTGGCTCCGGCGAAACTCAGGTCCTGGATCGGAGTACAGCGTCGTGAGCTTCGATTTTGGAGGCAGGTTTGTTTGCCCTTAAGCTTTAAATCGACTTAGTGCGGGACCCCTTTTCCAGTACATCGGAGGATGTGCCGCCCCAGTGGCCCCAGGTCGTCGACGTCCACGGATTCTGCGATAGCGGGGTTGATTGTTTAAATTGGGTGTGAACGAAAGAGATCTCTAGAGTGCATTTTCGGATGTGCTTTGAAAGCGTTCCCCGGCACATTCGAGGGTCTGGCATCGAGATGCTTCATGAAATGTAGCCGCCTTGGGCCGTGAGACCCAGGTTCCAGCCCGGGCCCCAAACCACCAAATCAAAATCTGTGTGCACTGCTTTCGTACTGGCTCGGAAAAGAGCACGACAATCCAAGCTAGCTGCAAGTTTGCATCTATTCTAGCAAATCGGCAACTGCAGATGCCGTATGGAGGATGCCGCCGATAAGTTACCGAGAGTACGTGCATGTATTGTATGTACATGTGTGTACGTATGTGTATTATATGCATTGTATGTATTGCTCTCTAAATCTAGCGTGAACATCCCTGCTCGCCCGGCAACATCCATCCAAAACAGCTCGCCAGTCCACGGCACACTTGGCCAGGCGCTCGCAGCCTTGATCGTCACTTCTTCTTGCCGGCACGGCCCTTCGACTTCGCCTTCGCTTTGGGCTTCGGCACCGCCTGGGCTGCACGTGGTCGAAGCCCGGAATCGAAACCCTAATATTAATAATAAGCCCTAACCCTTAAACCCTGAACATATAGCCACCTAAATCCTATGCGGCCTTAGACAACCTACCCTAAACCCTAAGCCCAAACCCTTATGTCCTGTACCTGTCCTTAAACCCGAACCTAGCCTAAATCCTTTGCCCTACCCTTAAACAACCTAGCCGAAACCCTAAGCCCAAACCCTTATTAAACCCTGCACCTAGCCCAAGCCCTAAACCTGCTTGAACCCTGCACCTAGCGTAAAACCATAACCCACAATTTCAAGAGGCTCGGCTTTCTTCGTATATGCTTTTGTTTCGTGTTTGATATCAATGTATACTATTAATATAATTAATGTGATGCTCGACGACACAATCTTTGCGGTGTACTATGCGTGCAGCCTGGCGGCCATCTTCTTCATTCCATTCGTCGACTGCACGAAATTGGTAATCTTTTGCGTGCAATCATCTAGGTACTCCTGAAGCTTCTCGCCCGAGCCCTTCGCCACCTCATCATTTAGCTTGTCCATAGCCTGCTGAAGGCCATTGCTGTGGTTCTGCAGCTCCTTGACGAAGCCTTCGCGAATCGGCTCTGACCTGGACTCAAGGGGAGTTTGGGCAGGCCTCAAGGGATTGGGGTTTTAAAATAGGCTCACGGCTGCAGGGGGTTTAAAGGGTTTCGGGTTTCGGTTGAGAGTTTAAGGTTTAATTTGGGCTTAGGCTATGGATTTTAGGTTTTGTTGCATCTGGGGTGCATGTCTTCGTTTCCGGAGATCTCATCCTTCAGCACGGTGGCCTCACCGATCTTCGTGGAAGCCAGGGTAGCCTTGCTCTTGGCCTGGGTGAGGAGGGCATTCAATTTCTTCTTGTCCATAGGTTCCGGGAGGGATGCAAGCGTCGAGCCAGCATCCTCATCACCCTGCGGCAGCGGCAAGGCCATCGACGATGGCCGACGTCTGATGCTGCTGCTGGCCTGATCAGAGCCGCTCGGCAATGCGACTTCGAGGCCGTGCAGCACGTTGTTCCTTGCGGGCTTAGCGGTTTCCGGGAGTTGAGGCATTGCAATTGGTTTAAATTTATGGGCCTGGGAGTACTACTTATTATAGCATCCTGTAATATTAAGTACTCAAGAACCCTATCCTTTGCTAGCTTGTCTCTAGCTGATCTTATTAGAGTGTACTTGAGCTCAGCATAGCGGCACCACAGCATGGGTCGCATCGCCATCGAGCTCCAGATCGCCGGTCTTCACGGTAGTTTTTTTCGAAGACGTGTCTTTCTTTGTCAGGGTCGCCTCCTTGAAGGTGCGGATCAAGGTCCATTCCTGTCAAGCTTAGGGCTTCAGGCTTTATATTTAGGGTTTAGGGTTTAGGGCTTCGGGTTTAGGGTTTATTATAAGTCTAGAATATATTAGTGTATTACTTGTAATAAGGGTTCAGCGACAGTACAATATTGCATTCTCTGGGATTTTGAGACATAACTACATATTGGACTGGCCGGGCCTTGCAACCTGGCAGGTCCGGGTGCTTCAGAATGTAGGGCGGCTCAAGGGAGTCCGACGGCATCTGCTCCTGCAAAGCCTGCTTGGCCTTGAAGATCTCGTCAGCCGCCACGGATCCCTCCTTCTCCCGCAAGTCGCAAAGGCGAACGTAGTGCTCCTCGCCCTTCAACTCTTTGTCCACACGGGATGTCACTTTGGTCACCAGGGTGCTCGACAGCCAACTCCCTCCAGCCTTGAGGTACTCAGCAAACAGATCGTCCAAGGCTTTGGATCCTGTCGGAGCGGGTAATTAATTCATCATCACAACATAGCTAAGCTGTAGAACGAAGTGATGCACAGCTGTGCCTCTCGTCGCTACACATAATTATATTATATGGCTATACTCGAACCAAGCACTGCACAGGAATGGTGCCTCTCGTCGCACGTGCAGCTGCCTCTGCCACCTCTGGCGGGCAATTGTCGCCTTGGAATCTGCAGCTTGAGCCAATTTACTTCTTAAGCCTTGAGGTTTTGGAGTTTGGATTGAGGGTTTCAGGGTTATCTAAGGTTTTAGGGTTCCGGGCCTAAATTGCTTGGACTTAGGGATCCACCAAGCAAGTCAAAGTGTTCAGCATTCTGTGGTTGATGTTTATTGGATCTCGTCCGGCTGCTTTGGGCTGATCAGGAGCTTAAGTTTAGGCAAGTGTTCGAGCGTTTGGTGGTTGTGGGTCAAGACTTGAAGGATTATAGCTACTACATCAAGCAGCTACTTCAGGTTTGAAGGGTTTACGGAGCTTAGAGATTTGAGGGTTCAGGGTTTCTAAAATAAGTTCAATGCAAAGCACTCCTGGTCGATCTGTAGAACTTCATGAAGACATTGTGGGCCACCCTCGCCATCCAGTCCTCTTGGGTCTCGTTCTCCCTCATGGTCATCGTTGCTTCCTGCCAAGGGATTTCATTACATGAATATGGGGGGCTAAGGGGCCGCGTGAACTCCACACCGTCCGAAATCCCTGACCAATGATATTATATCCTAGCAATCCAGAAAACCAGATCTCGAGACCAGCACCCTTTGCGACGAAACTCGGAGTCCTTCAGACCGAAAGAGTTGGGCCGGTTGATGGCCTCGAAAACGGCATCCACCCTCTGCTGGGACTTTGCCCGATCGCGAATGGCCAGATGCTGCACCGGTGCCGTACTGCTGATTGGCTCTGCGATCTGCGGGGCCTGCTCGGCATGCTCCACCGTACTGCTGATTGGCTCTGCGATCTGCGTGGCCTGCCCGGCCTGCTCCTCCGTACCACTGCTGCTGATTGGCTCTGCGATCTGGGGTGCGTCCTCCATGGCCACGGCGTGCTCCTCCGTACTGCTGATCGGCTCTACTGTGATCTGGGGTGCGTCCTCCATGGTGATCGGCTGATCTGTGATCTGCTCGGCCTGCTCCTCCGTACTGCTGATTGGCTTTGCGATCTGCTCGGCCTGCTCCTCCGTACTGCTGATTGGCTTTGCGATCTGCTCGGCCTGCTCCTCCGTAATCGGCTTTGCGATCTGCTCGGCCTGCTCCTTCGTACTGCTGACGTCGTCTGGCTCTGCGACCTGCTGGTCTGCTGCTGCCGTGTCCACCAAGGTTTCCGCCTGCTCGACGTTGGGCAGCTCCGGAGCCTGGACAGCACGGGAGTATGCTGTAGAAGGCGTAGCTACTAGTAGTCGTCGTAGAGTGGCATGTACTAGCAGCAGCAGCAGCAGCACGAATAGTAGTGTCGAGTACGTATGTAATCGTCGTAGTAGTAGCGTAGTAGTAGTAGTAGTAGTAGTAGTACTAGTATATAGTAGTA